AGTAGTGAAGTGTAGTTGTGTATTCGTAGTTGTAGTTGTAGTGTAGTGGAGTGTAGTGTAGTGTAATGTAGTGGAGTGTAGCGGAAGGCAGTGTAGTGTAGTGTAATGTAGTGTAGTGGAGTGTAGTGTAGTGTAATGTAGTGTAGTGCAGTGTAATTTAGTGTAGTGGAGTGTATTGTAGTGGAGTGTAGTTGTGTAGTTGTAGGTGTCGTGTATTGGAGTGTAGTGTGGTGTAATGTAGTGAAGTGTAGTGGAAGGTAGTGTAGTGTAGTGTAATGTAGTGTAGTGTAGTGTAGTGTAGTGGAGTGTAGTGTAGTGTAATGTAGTATAGTGTAGTGTGATTTAGTGTAGTGAAGCGTAGAGTAGTGTAGTGGAGTGTAGTTGTGTAAAGTTGTAGTGTTGTGTAATGTAGTGTAGTGTAGTGCAGTGTATTGGAGTGTAGTGTAGTGTAATGTAGTGTAGTGAAGCGAAGCTACATCTGAACCTCCAAAAATGGTCCGGACCTGGTGTGTTTTGTACATTTTGAGTTGGAAATGTGCTTCGCGCCACAACGGCGTGCACTTTTTCGACATCGCAACTTCCAAAAGTGCTCCGACCATGGTGTGTTTTGTACATTTTCACTTCGAAATGTGCTTCGCGCCACAACGGCGTGCAATTGTTCATCTCTCATCTGGCCAGCTGGCTCCGCACCCGCCGCTTTAGCGAGCCTACTTTTCGACCCTCCGGAGCCCAAGTGTTTCGCGACTTTCCTACCTTTTCGCGCATCTGCATCTTCTTTCTTCTTACTCTTCTTTCTAATCTTTCTCTTCTCTCTGCCTCTTCCCTGCTCTGCTTTTCATCTGTCCATATTGTCGGAAGTTTGACTTCTAAACTTCATTCGATAAGTATCTATACCTATTCTATCCTAATTTTTTCTTTGTCTATATATATATACACAGAGAGAGAGTGTGTGTGCGTACATGTATCTTTCGATAATTATATCTGTATATGTGTGTATATATATACACGTACATAAAAAATAAATATTCTATGTCTGTGTGTGTTTTTTACGGTGTGTATTGTATTTGTGCAAAGAGTCATGACTGGGGCAAATGAAGCATAGGGCTCTATCTCGCAACAATGCCACCCTGGCTGAATTGTCCTATTGCCTCTGTTCACATGGTCGTAAGTCATCTGGGGTCAGGAACTAGGCCTCTATCCTGTACCCGATGAATGATGTGTTGCCCCACGAAGAAAAACCTCTTTGGGGTGTCGGAGAGCCTGCACAGACAGATTACCAGCAGTGGCCATGTCCGTTCCATCCACCAAGTAGCCCACGTCGGCATAGTAGTGGGATGGTGGCAATGGGGAGCCGGGAGTGTGCATGTCTGGCTGCATTGTCTCAGGGTGGTTCAAAGCATTGCCTGCAGCGCTCATCGGTGTGCCATCCGGCAGGTAGCCCACGGAATTGCAGAAGAGAGCACGGGGCAACGGAGAACCCGGAGTGTGTGGATCTGGTCCAATGGTCTCCGGATGGTTGATGGCGTTGCCAGCCCTGTTCATTGGTGTGCCGTCAGGCAAGTAGCCTAAGCTGAAGAAAAGTGCAGCATTACATTTCAAACAAAAGATAAATAGACACTTGCGCTTCCTGAACGCTCTCTGAACGCTCACTGCACATTCAACCATCACCATCCATCACCTAAACTCAAATGTAGATGTTTGTGATTGTTATGCATGACTTTCTGCTTAGGCTTGCACATCAAGCCAAGAAACCCACATCGTTGAGGAACTCCAAATCCACACATGCATCCTTCTGAATCGAGTAAGGGAACTTGATGCCATGCATCACATCCCCTGACACTGATGATGGTGCTGCCACTGGTGGTGGTGCCGAAACAGGGGTTGGTGCCGCAACAGGTGGGGGTGCCGCGACTGGTGCTGGTGCAGCCGGCATCGATGAAGCGGGGGGCGCACCCTGCACAGACAGATTACCAGCAGTGGCCATGTCCGTTCCATCCACCAAGTAGCCCACGTCGGCATAGTAGTGGGATGGTGGCAATGGGGAGCCGGGAGTGTGCATGTCTGGCTGCATTGTCTCAGGGTGGTTCAAAGCATTGCCTGCAGCGTTCATCGGTGTGCCATCCGGCAGGTAGCCCACGGAATTGCAGAAGAGAGCACGGGGCAACGGAGAACCCGGAGTGTGTGGATCTGGTCCAATGGTCTCCGGATGGTTGATCGCGTTGCCAGCCCTGTTCATTGGTGTGCCGTCAGGCAAGTAGCCTAAGCTTAAGAAAAGTGCAGCATTACATTTCAAACAAAAGATAAATAGACACTTGCGCTTCCTGAACGCTCTCTGAACGCTCACTGCACATTCAACCATCACCATCCATCACCTAAACTCAAATGTAGATGTTTGTGATTGTTATGCATGACTTTCTGCTTAGGCTTGCACATCAAGCCAAGAAACCCACATCGTTGAGGAACTCTAAATCCACACATGCATCCTTTTGAATCGAGTAAGGGAACTTGATGCCATGCATCACATCCCCTGACACTGATGATGGTGCTGCCACTGGTGGTGGTGCCGAAACAGGGGTTGGTGCCGCAACAGGTGGGGGTGCCGCGACCGGTGTTGGTGCAGCCGGCATCGATGAAGCTGGGGGCGCACCCTGCACAGACAGATTACCAGCAGTGGCCATGTCCGTTCCATCCACCAAGTAGCCCACGTCGGCATAGTAGTGGGATGGTGGCAGTGGGGAGCCGGGAGTGTGCATGTCTGGCTGCATTGTCTCAGGGTGGTTCAAAGCATTGCCTGCAGCGTTCATCGGTGTGCCATCCGGCAGGTAGCCCACGGAATTGACGAAGTGAGCACGGGGTAACGGAGAACCCGGAGTGTGTGGATCTGGTCCAATGGTCTCCGGATGGTTGATGGCGTTGCCAGCCCTGTTCATTGGCGTGCCGTCAGGCAAGTAGCCTGCATGCACAACGCGCATTTATACTGAGAAGACTTGGCAGAAGTTTCCATCTGAAAGATGTTTGTCTTGAAGGCAGATATCTCTTCTAGTACTGTAATCTCTATGAGAATTGCTTTATGTTTATATAAACTGTTCGGCATGTTCTCATGTATGTTCTTCATGTTTCTCCATCTGAAAGTCAATCAGTGGCATCACCTGATCTGCTTTTACTACAGCCCGGTTGTCGCTCCAGTTCATGCACTCAATTTTTTCTTGGGTCAGTTCGGGATTGCTGTGCAGAGGAAACTGCAGGTTCCACACGTTTAAGGAAAGGTTCTCTGTTGAAGACTCGTACATATTTGCCATATAACCGCGTTGCGTTGTCCAGTTTCAGCCACGCAACCCACATCGTTCAGGAACTCCAAGTCAGCATACGCATCCTGGCAAGCAAAGCTGCGGTTAACAAATTCCGCATGGCACCATTTTGCCGTTTTGACAGTTTTATCCAGCAAATCACAGCGAATCCATAGCATCTCACTGATGTGTTTTGTGGTGAAGCTTGATGGCCTGAGGTCACTCATTTCCTGCTTCACTTCTCGTCAGCCATGTCAATGGGACGTTAATGCTACGCGTCCCATTTCTTTAAAAAATGGATAGACAAACAGACAGACAGGTAGATAGATTACCTAGATTAGATAGATTAGATTAGGTTAGATTAGGTTAAGTTAGGTTAAGTTAGGTTAGATTAGATTAGATTTAAATTTAGATTGGATTAGATTAGATTAGATTAAGATTAGATTAAGATTAGATTAGATTAGATTAGATTAGATAGGGAAAATTAGATGGATAAGATTAGATAGATAAGATTAGATAAATACGATTAGCTTAATTAGATAGATAAGACCAGATCAGATCAAATCAGATCAGGTCAGATCAGATCAGATAGATACGTAGATAAATAGATAGATAAGTAGATAAATAGATAGATAAAATAATGGATAGATAATTAAGATATTGTGTTTATTATGTTATGTGTAAAACCATGTATACATAAAGGGTTCGTGCTCAAGATGATCCAGCGTCAGCGGGTCATCGTCCTTCTGAATGGAGTAGCTGAACTTGATGCCATGCAAAGACTCCTGGCGAGTCACCTTGGCCTTGCGCTTACGGGCCAGGAGCCCAGATGCACAGGTCGCCAAAAGAGCCATGCCATACATCGCACCGCCTGGGGTGGCTTCGATGGTGGCAAAGCACTGGGCTACGTGGCTACGCGGGCTACGTGGGCAACGCGGGCAACGCGGGCTACGCGGCTACACGCGGAAGACTTTTTTCAATCTTTTTCATGCCTTTTTCGTGGATGGTTTCACTCTGACGAGTGGTACTAGCTCTTTTGCAGCACCTGAGGAGGATGACACTTCAGACTTGTGCTACAACATGTTGCGACATGTTACAATACAACAATACAGTAACTTATGATTCATGACTTCGAGAAGACAAAGGCCAACATATGTTCGATGATTCCAATTTGCTCCCAAACTCTCTGGTCCAAAAACAAGTTCCACGTAGATCATGCCCGGATACTCCCTGATTACATCTCGTTTGATTACCCATCTGGTGGAGGAACGTCAATGACTTTGGGGCAGTTGTAGAAACAGAAAGTAGGGACAAATCAAAATAGAATATGACAACATGTGGATGTTTGATATATAATGAAAGTGAGCAGCTGAGACTTAAAATGGGGTCCGGCTGATTCTTGCTCTGAACACACTAGAGGGCACCACCCCAGTGCCAATCCTGTGGCATCAGTTGGTTCTGATGGTTGTACTTTCGAAAAAAAAAATGAAATTTTCTGAACCCGCATCTCGATGTAACTGAGATCCCCATGAGTCCAGAATTTCCAACATTACAAAATTACATTAAATTTAAAAACACAAAAAAAAACTCAGCGAATTTTGCCACAGCTAAACTGCCACCGCGGTGCCCGCATGGGCGCCCGGCATGGCCGTGCTTTGCGGTAGCGCTGGGAGGCGTCCGGAAGCCACGCCGGGGCCGGAGGTGCCAGTCGTGCCGGTCGGCACCCAGGGTGCTGCGAAATTAAAAGAGGATGGCAGCCTCATTCCGTGACATCCGTGACATCCGTGACATCCGTGACATCTGTGACATCCGTGACTCCACTTGGAAAACTTCGAAAACTCGATTCGATTTTGAGATGAAAGAAATCCCATACCGAGGAAGTGGACCAACAGAATTTCTTGAGATCAAACACCATTTCTGGTACTACATGGTTCCAACATGTTTCAAGCAACTCGTCATGGAGGCATCCATTGGACCTGAAGATCAAAATGGTACAGTCTTAGAGTGTCGCCCGAGACCTGTTGCAACCGAGGTTGCGATGTTCTACACCCAATGCAATGCGTGTGATAGCCAGCAAAAAAAGAAAGACGGCGAGACCTGCGACTAAAATTCAGGAATGCATTGTTTTGACCCAGTGCCGTTTTAAGAAAAACAAACGTACAATAGCATACCCCATAGCATATATACTATAGCAGTAATATAGCATACATAGCATACACAATAGTGTTTGATCTAGCGCGAAGTACGGCAAGAAACAGGATCAGGAAGGCGAGGCCGACAGCGGCCAGGGCCAAGTACGACATCTTGGTCCTTGAGAAGCTGTCAACTCTGTCAACCAATCAGTTCCACTTGGCTCGATGTTGGGGGAAAACACCTGAAGGGATCTTAGTCTATCCTTGATTTGTTTCAATCCAGCATTGTTTGGGCCTAATTTCACTGCAATATACCAGCAACCAGTAATGACTTGAATATCGTTCCTTCTCAAATCCTGGAACGGCTTGAACTTCTGATAATCGGCAGCCTCTCTAAGGGCCAACATGTCTACGGCCCAGGGACATCAGACCAATGCTTTCCAGGTCGGAGATCAGGGAGATCAGCGAGATCAGCGAGATCGAGCGTTGAGCGCAGTCGAACCAAATTGCTGGAGCCGCAGAGGCAACGGTGGAAAACGCCCAGATTTCTTTTCCCATTTCTTTAACACATCCAAGATGCAAAACAAAACAAAAAGGGCCGCTCATGTCAACTGTGTGGGTGTGTGCGCGTGTGTAACATCTGAATAGATGTGAAACTTCTGCGATATTCCTTTTTTCATATATTGCCGGGGGTCACCGGGGTGCCGCAGGGGTCGGTGACCAACGAAGACGCCTCCCCGGGACCCGTGCAAACGTACCCGCGGGACTTTGGTGGTGCACCTGGGCGCATTTCAGTCGCAGCTGGTGGCCACCATAGTCCCATATACATACATACATTTCATTACATTACATTACATTACGTTACGTTACGTTACATTACGTTACATTACATTACATACATACATACATACATTACATACATACATACATACATACATACATGCATACATGCATACATGCATACATGCATACATGCATACATGCATACATGCATACATACATACATACATACATACATACATACATACAGACATACATACATACATACATATACACATCTTTTCTAGTTTTTTGTTGAAGGGATTCAGTTCCCTTCGGGTCACTCCAATGATAGTCCCATATACATACATACATACATACATACATACATTAATACATTAATACATTAATACATTACATACATTACATACATTACATACATACATACATTACATACATTACATACATTACATACATTACATACATTACATACATTACATACATTACATACATACATACATACATTACATACATACATACATACATACATACATACATACATACATACATACATACATTAATACATTAATACATTAATACATTAATACATTAATACATTACATACATTACATACATACATTACATACATACATACATACATACATACATACATACATACATACATACATACATACATACATACATACATACATACATACATACATTACATACATACATTCCATACATACATTACTTACATACATACATTACATTACATTACATTACATTACATTACATTACATTACATACATACATACATACATACATTACATTACATACATACATACATACATTACATGCATACATACATACATCCATGCATGCATGCATACATACATCCATCCATGCATGCATACATACATACATACATCCATGCATGCATGCATGCATGCATGCATACATACATACTTACATATATATATATCCACCGACCCCGGCAGACGCTTCTGTCAGCAGCAGCAGCGCCGTCTAGTATCTCTCATCAATTCCCTCAGGTCTTCCGTTCTAGTAGGGTTTCAGAAGTCACATTAGGCACTTTTTCGGTGCGATTCTGTGGCCTGTTCGTCCTTCCGTGCCTTGCTGTTTTGGTGCCGGGAGGTGCTTTTGGTACTCCTGTGTCAGCAGCAGCAGCAGCAGCAGCAGCAGCAGCAGCAACGCCAGCAGCCGTCTAGTATCTCTCATCAGTTCCCGGTCTTCAGTTCTAGTAAGGTTTCAGAAGTCACGTTAGGCACTTTTTTGGTACACCGTGCCTTGCTGTTTTGGTGCCGAGGGAGGTGCTTTTGGTACTCTTCTGTCAGGAGAGTACAAATAACAGCAGCAACGGCAGCAGCCGTCTAGCATCTCTCATCAAGTCCCTGAAGTCACTTTTTCGGTGCGATTCTGGGGCCTGTTCGTCCTTCCGTGCCTTGCTGTTTTGGTGCCGGGAGGTGCTTTTGGTACTGTTCTGTCGGCGGCAGCAGCAGCAGCAGCAACGGCAGCACCCGTCTAGTATCTCTTATCAGTTCCTTCAGGTCTTCAGTTCTAGTAAGGTTTCAGAAGTCACGTTAGGCACTCTTTCGGTGCGATTCTGGAGTCTGTTCGTCCTTCCGTGCTTTCCTGTTTCGGTGCGATTCTGTGGCCTGTTCGTCCTTCCGTGCCTTGCTGTTTTGGTGCCGGGAGGTGCTTTTGGTGCTCTTCTGTCAGCAGCAGCAGCAGACAGAGACAGCAGCAGCAGCAGCAACGGCTATCTCTGATCAGTTCCCTCAGGTCTTCAGTTCTAGTAGGGTTTCAGAAGTCACGTTAGGCACTTTTTCGGTGTGATTCTGTGGCCTGTTCGTCCTTCTGTGCCTTGCTGTTTTGGTGCCGGGAGGTGCTTTTGGTACTCTTCTGTCAGCAGAAGCAGCAGCAGCAGGAGCAGCAGCAGCAGCAGCGACGTAGGTCTTTAATTCTAGTAGGGTTTCAGAAGTCACGTTAGGCACTTTTTGGGTGCGATTCTGTGGCCTGTTCGTCCTTCCGTGCTTTTCTGCTTTGGGCCTGCATTTGATACATTACATGCGTTGCTCTCACAGCAACCCAAAGTAGTTTACATAGGACCCAATATAATCCAAATCTCTTGCTGTCACAGCAACCCAAATTTATATACATGTTGCTCTCACAGCAACCCCAATTGCTAGGTATGGATTGCTGTAACACGGAGGCAAACAAAAGAATGAAGCTAGACTTGTTCTTGTTTTTTGTCCGGGGTCGGCGGCAGGTGCGGCAGCCCTTATATTTATATAGACAGTATATATATACACATCTTTTCTAGTTTTTTGTTGAAGGGATTCAGTTTCCTTCGGATCACTTCAATGATCCAGTTCTTTTTTTTTTGTGTGTGTGTGCTTTTTGGCTTTGGGATCTTCATTGTGAATCTAGCAATTCTTTCGAGCGTGCGAGTCAACCGAAAACTAATTGATGCAGGTAGCACCATGTGGATGGATGTAACCTTGCAGTTTGAGGACCAAAGTTGAAAATTGCCTCAGTTGCCTCACTCTACCGTCCTTATTAGTCCTTGTCCTTGTCTTCCACAGCTGAATGGTATTCATGTTTTCATCGCACCGTGATTCAGCAGCATGGATTGTCAGGAAGGAGAAATGAGTCTCAGCTCTTGGCAGATCACTGCCGCAGAAAGTCGGGAATGCCACCAACCCCTTTCATTCGATTTCGATGCTTTACATTGAGCAAAACATTGTGACATGTGATTTCAATTTGTTTCCACTAGATTTTATCAAACTTGATGTTCAACTCTTGTCAACCGTTCAAGTTTTCCTTAAAGGGGTGATTCGAAGTGATTGTGCAAATTGACATGTAAATCTTGCCAATTGCAGCAGGCGTTCAGCTCTCCTCAAGCTCTCAGTGGATGGCGTTGTTGCCCGCCGCATCCAAGGGTGTTCCATCGACCAAATATCCGATGTCCGCAGCATAGGCCGAAGGTGGCAGAGGGGAGCCAGGGGAATGAGGGTCAGGTCCAATGGTCTCCTGTGCGAATTCCGAGAATTCCACTTTTTGGAGATCTTTTTGGAGTATATACTTGAGCCGTACTTGCAGAGTACTTGAGGGGCTTGAACTCACAGCACTATGCATCCAAATATGTTATCCAAATGTTCTCACAAAAAAATGCGGCAAACTTTCAGATGACTATAATCCTTGCACGTCCTTGTGCATTCTCTGCTAGAAGAAATACACGAGTGCAAGAATCTAAGCTCCCTCATCCCAAGACTTGGAAACACCAAAGACTGGATCCCAAACTGAACGCTTTCAATGTGCTCCCTTTGCCCAAAATAACATGAAATAACAGTTAAATAACATGAGTATGCTGACATAGTAACTCCGATAGTAACTCCGATATGCCGACATCGGAGCCAAGGTTCTGGGTGGTTGATGGCATTGCCGGCCCTGTTCAATGGTGTGCCATCCGGCAAGTAGCCCACATCATTCACGAACAGCGCGCGGGGCAAGGGAGAGCCTGAAAAAGTCAACCCAGTTGATTCAATCAGAAAATTCTGGACATGTTGATTCAACATGATTCAACTTCTATTTCAGAAATTGACAGAGAAAATCCTGAGCTTTCTGCAGATTTGGTGATTTCGACAAATTGTATCAGTGTTGAATCCCCAGATCAACTCAGTTTCCACCTGGACCTCATTTCCTCATTTGTCGAATGCCAAGAAGCCCGGGGTGTGAGGATCTGGTCCAATGGTCTCTGGGTGGTTGACGGCGTTGCCGGCGGTGTTCATTGCAGTGCCATCAGGAAGATAGCCGACCTTGGTCCACGTCGAGATGTCAAAAGATGTCAAGATCCTCACGGCACTTATGGCGTATGCGTCTCCGGGAAAGCCATGGGACCGTCCAAGGAGACCCATATAGACCCATAGTTTGGTTAGATTGGTTGGTTTGGTTCAGCACTGGCATGGCCACAATGGCCACATCCATTTCCGCCAAGGTACATCATTGCCGAAGGTCAAGTCCGCATAGGCGTCCTGGGCAGCAACTAGACATTACACAACTGCTGCATTGAAGTTCTTGAAAACTGGATAAATATGATCTTAGCTGAAAGATGGATGAAAATGGATTAAGATTGTTGAATCAAGTTGAATCTCGTCCGAAAAACAAAAAAAACTAGTTACATCATCTGCAGCATGTTATATAAAGTCCTGGTTCCAGGTTCCGTCACTGAGATGCCATCGAGGACTGAATTTCGCAAACCAGTTTCAATTGCTGAAATCCAGACCAAAACATACCAAAACTATGTAAATGTCAAAATCCCTGCAGTTTGTCACACAGTTTATAACTGCTGCATATCAGTGAAAACTTGATGGGAGACACCACGCATTGGCCGGTCCATGTTCATCCCGCATTGTGGCCTGTGATTTGACCCTCATCTAATCAGGGTTCAAAAAACATCAAACATATTTAACATTATTTAACATTATTTAACATATTTCAAAAATTTCCAAAACATCCTGTGACACTGTGATACTCTCTTTGTTCGCTTTCGTGCCCTGTCCTTCTGAATGGCATACAGGAAGCCGATGGGATGGCTCACATTGCCGCCCGAAGCCTGGGTGAAGCCATGTTGTGCTGGGAATCGGCGATCTACCAGAATCTACCAACTTCATGACAAAGTGGACTTCTAACTTTCTGAATTTCGAGATTTGGGGTGTTCTTTCAGGAATGAAATCAAGATGTAGGATGAACCCAAATCTATCAGAATCTATCAGAATCTATCAGTTGACCTGCAATTATTACTCACTGATCCAGGCAGGCAAGATCGGCAAGATGGCAGGCAACACCGCCAGCCATCACAGGGGCCGCCATGGACGGAGCAGGGCTCGAGGCTGGTGCAGGAGGGATTGGCGCACCTGCCTGCAAAGGGTGACAGATATCGAGATGAAATGAGATGAACATCGTGAATGTCGCCGGATTTTATATGTTCCAGGCAAACTTCAGCATGAACGCAGCACCTGAACTTTGAGGCTGCCAGTACCCATCCAACCCTGAAAAAACGTCCCAGCAAAATAGGTAGCCAACTCGAAACTCGAGAGACCTGTACACAAGATTATTAAGATCATGTCACGCTTCACGGTGATTCTGTGAGAAGAGCTTTGACAAATTTGATTGAACAAGCTTCCGATGTCCAAAGTTCCTGCGAGAATTTACGGCTCCCAGAGTCCAGTGGCTACAATCAATTCTCTGCAACATGCTTCGAACATCCTGTCGGCGGTCCAGAGTCCTGGAATTCTACTGATCTCTAACTTCCATGGGGGTTGTCTAGGGTATTCTAAGAAATTCTGTCGACACAGTCTACACAGTCTACACAGTCTACACAGTCTATACGCCGCCTTCACAGAGTTGTTGCCAGCCCACATCAGATCAGTGCCATCCACCAAGTAGCCTGCACAAAAGGACAACTTGGAGCCTTCCGAGGCTTCCGAGGCCACAGAGTGATCTCCAAAGTGCCTATGGGACAACACTTGTCTCTACATGTCAATATATGTCAATATATGTCAATATGCATACAAAATCATACAAATATATACAAATCATACCAATAGATACCAATAGTAGGTGCAATAGAAATTATAACCTGGATACACATATCATGTCTGTTGGACACTGGTGGATGGTCTTCCCAGCAATGGTAAGTTGCTCACCCTAAGGGACACTCGACTTCGGGGCGCCCCTGGCAGTTTCGTCTCAGGGTCCCTCACAGACAAGTCACCCACGTCGGCATAGTAGTAGGATGTTGGCAACGGGGAACCAGGAGTGTGCAAGTCCGGCTGCATGGTCTCCGGATGGTTCAAGGCATTGCCTGGCTGAAACCCATTGAATCTCACTGGCAATTGGTATCCTACGTGGAAGATGTCGGAAAGTTGTAAACTGTTCTGTTCCTATTGGGGAAACTCATGGCAAACCCAGAGCCGATGCAAAAAGCCGGAATGCAATTCCTCGTGCATTGGGCAAGAGTTTCTGCAGGTGGTTCTCGCAACCGTCGATCCAATCCTGTCTTCATTCCCGTCCCGATGCAATCCACCATTCAAATCCCTCCAGTCCTGCTGCGTTCATTGCAGTGCCATCTGGGAGGTAGCCAATGGAGTTGACGAATTCAGCCCTTGGCAAAGGAGAGCCAGGAGTGTGAGGATCTGGTCCAATGGTCTCCGGGTGGTTGACAGCGTTGCCGGCCCTGTTCATTGGTGTGCCATCTGGCAAGTAGCCTGCTACAGGCACAGGGCAAATACCGACAAGAGAGAGAACGAGAGAAAGGAGAGAGGGAGAGAGTATGAGAGAAAGACCGCAAAATTGTTTGTACAGTTTGTGAGAAACAGCATTTTGTTCAAAATTGCATATCTTGAGGCAGAATTCATTTGAACCTTCACAAGTTCTCCATTTCGCTTCGGATGAGTAGACCCTTTTTTCTGCTGCGGCTTTGCCCAATGATGGCGAAACGGAGTTCCATAATCTTCAGACAGACGACCCAAGAATGACAAGTTCCAAGCCACCCACATCGTTCAAGAACTCCAGGTCGGCATAGGCGTCCTTTTGAAGCGAGTAACTGAACTTGATGCCATGCAAGGCTTTCCTTGGTCTCTTGAAGCGTCAGGCTCAAGGAACAAGAGTAGCAGAAGTAGAAAAAGTAACAAACGTAACAAAAACCGTATCACTCCAAATTTTGGTCTTGGGATATCCTGCATATTACGACAAGTTTCCTGGCCACCAATGAACGAGCTCCTGCAACCAATGCACCCGCAGCTAACACTGCGACAGCGGCACCCATGCTGTAGCCGCTGTAGCCGCCAGCAAGGTCCATCTCAGGCACAACGCCCGGGGACATCCTGGCAGGTTGTGCCAATGGAATCCAATGGAACCATTCTGAGATTGAACTGGGTCACACGATGTCAAACGATTCTTCCTACGGTGCTCGAACATGTATCCTTTGTTTTTACAATCCTTCCCCAGATTGATATATAAATGATAAATCCATCATTCTTTCTGACATTCCTGCAAGATCAAACTCAAACTGTTTCGCGTTGGACCTTTCTCGCAATTATCACATGAACGTATTGGAATGGCAGAACTGCCATCAATTCTGAAGTTCCAGAAAAAGGCAAAACACGTTCATGACCATGTATATGCAGAAAAGATCAGAAAAACATAGCTCTAGGTCTATATCTGTCTGTTCCTACAACATTAAATCACTTTTTCAACGTTGCTTCACGGCACTTCATGGTGAACAAATGGTGCCCAAGCCTAACCTGGGACGACCCGTCCTAGGTGCGGTTGCAGGACCACGAGGCACCACGAAGCTGAGACCTGCATGGAGGACCACCAGGCCGGCCACAGCGGCTGCAGACATCTTGGACCTGGGAAGGAGCCACGGCACATATTTATATATATATAGATATATATATATATAATATATATATATATATTGGCATTATTGGCACACCCATGAAATACCCATGGAATTTCATGGAATTCATCCGCTAAGCATCGCTAAGCCGTTTTGTAGTGGAATGGAGTCATGGAGATGGAAAAATCATGGATAACAGCGGGTAGTAATCCATAATAATATGTATTCGCAAATTGCAATTCAACTTGCAAGATGGGTATGCACCAATAAGAAATGGCATACAATGGGCGTAGCAGCAGCAGATGTAAAAAGTATAGCTGGTAAGGATCATTTCAAAAGTAGAATTCCACAACAGTCATTCTTGCTTTATATAACCCATTACAATTGAGGCCCAACCGAAATTGCACCAAAAAAGTCTCACATCGGAACGGAAATCCGGATGCGAACTAAATAAGCACCAGTCTGATTGATCTTGGTAACAAAATATTCAAACGAACAATGCAAGGGTCTGTCGTCTTTCGCCACATCTGTAGTTCCCGAACTTGGCCCGCAGACCCCGTCATTTACTGGAGCAAACCCAATCGGAAATCACGTTTTTTATTTGCAAAATTACACAGATTTTTTTACACTGTACAACTCTTTTTGGAGATCCAAGCGTCTGCGACATGGGTTGAGTGGTGGCACAACGAGACTCAGAAAAATCGAATCACTCCCTTTGAGCCCAAGGAGTCACACCGTGAAAGCGATACTTCAAACATCTTCAAACTGGCTCTCTGTTTGAGCCACTGACAATGTAGTGTCGTGAATGCACGTGGTTCCCAAGTTGGAATTTGAACTTGGGAACGCTGTTTTCATCTTTGGTAGAACATGGTAGAACTCTTTCTCAATCCACAAGGCATCAGCTTCACGCGATCTTGTTAGGCCAGAGAGCTCCGAAGATGTCTGAGTGATGTCTGCAAGGAGAAATGGCTACTGGTGGATCTAATCAGTCTGGTGACTGGGTGAAATTCTGGCTAAACGCCAATGCAAAAGAGAGGTTGTTTCTTCAACATCTTCAACCTTTCCAAGTGATGTCTTAAAATCCAAGTTCTCATTCTTGGGTTTCGAGATCTCTATCTACTCAGTGCACTGCGTTGTTGCCAGCAGCATCAAGGGGCGTGCCGTCCACCAAGTATCCAATGTCAGCAGCATAGACCGATGGTGGCAATTCAGAGCCAGGAGTATGAGGGTCCGGTCCAATTGTCTCCTAGTTGAAAGCGGCACAAATATCCGGGGATGTTCCTTTGTCCCAACCATCTTCAAAAAAAATCTTCGCCTACACTGGATGGTTCTTAGATCAAGTCTTACAATCTCTCCAATAGATTGCACTTATCGACCGAAAAAAAATAAAAAGCTGGTGCAAACCAAGAGTCAGGGTGGTTGATGGCATTGCCGGCCCTGTTCATTGGTGTGCCATCCGGCAAGTAGCCGACGTCGTTCACGAAGATGGCACGAGGCAACGGAGAGCCTCAAGCAAAATGCCAATACTGAATCTGATGCCTAGGGACTGGAGATACAAGAGAGGTTGGAGACAGAACTTACCCTCAGTGACCACTAGAACAATTGACACTATGAACAAAGTTTACAGCTTTGAACCAAGGATTCTACTCGTTCTAATTCTAGTAGGTTCTGGTCCTAGTCGAACTGGTGCCACAAACTGCCACACACACTTGTGCCATTCCTCTGCATTCCGAAGCTACAGTGAGCCTGGAGAATGAGGGTCCGGTCCAATGGTCTCTGGGTGGTTGATGCAGTTGCCAGCGGTGTTCATGGGAGTGCCGTCTGGCAAATATCCCACCTGTCAGCTGTATTGGTGAACCAATCAATATAATAATAGACAACGTTGAATCTCCAACTCAAGTGGCGGCTAGGGATCTTATAAGCAGATCGTGCTAAGCAAAACCCTGTGCAATGCGAACAAGAATATGACTCTGTTGCAAATGCGATCACATTGACATACAAAATCACAGCCCATCTAGGCAATCTAGGCAAACAAGGTGCATCATTTCCATAGGTCAAGTCAGCATAGGCATCCTGGCAGCATGGACGTGCGGCTGGAACCATTTGTCAGTCTCCAAAGAGGCACAATCCAGCAAGATTTAGCCAAATTGATGTGTTGCCAGAAACAGGTTTTCTATATTTCAGTATTTACTTGAGACCCGTTGGAGGGGTTGTCAATGACTTGAAAGTGTTCCGCCCCATTTCACCAAGGTTTTTGCTAGTCACGGCTGGCTCCTTCTGCACGGCATAGGCAAAACCTGCAGGCACTCGCTTGTCTGCTCCGGCACGTCCCATCCCAGCCTCAGTTGGTTGGGACAGCTACACCGCATCCCGCGAATGCAAGCTGCCAGCTACAGCCCGCATCCTACAGATACATCCCACAGCACATTGACCAAGAACAATCCCAACATTCCCTTCTAAACAAGTCAAAACCCAAAAGAATCAAAATGAAGTTCTGTGCATTTCTATGCAAACGAGTTGCAGAGGCTCCCACAAAAGCAGCTGCCACTGGCTGTTGCACTGCCGCCGGTGCAGCGGCAGGTGCAGCGGCTGGGACACCCTGAGAACTATCGTTGCACATGTCAGGTGTGCCTCCGTGAACAGTCAGAATGACAGTATTAGAGAGACTACTTTATGGTTGGGTCCTATATTGGCTTTTCCATGCTTTTCCTACTACTTTGATAAATGTGCAGGATCTTTCAGTCATAGCTAAGACTCCTTAGAACGTAAGAGCTACAGCTGGACACATCACAAACCAGAGCCTGAACGGAGAGGTTTCCTGCAGTGACCAAATCGGTGCCATCCACCAGGTAGCCTCGGCAACTGGATGAGTCTGACGATGTCTCGGGACTCAACTGGTTTAGACAGTTCTGCACTTCCTTCTCAAGTTGTTTGAAGTTTGAAGCCCAAGAAGTTTCATCTTGATTTCATGCTTCCTAATCACAAGCTCTTCCCATGATCATGTGCTCGTGATCTTCATCATCATCATCATCATCATCGTGCTCATCGTGCTCATCGTGCTCATCGTGCTCATCGTGCTCATCATGCTAAGCTGTTCCTCTTGCAATCCAGAAGCCCACTTCCGCAGCATAATACGATCTTGGCAAGGGGGAGCCAGGAGCATGTGAGTCAGGCTGCATGGTCTCAGGATGGTTCAAGGCATTTCCTGCTGCGTTCAGTGGAGTGCCATCTGGGAGGTAGCCAACAGAGTTGACGAAGATTGCCCGGGGCAAAGGAGATCCGGGAGTGTGAGGATCTGGTCCAATGGTCTCCGGGTGGTTGATGGCATTGCCAGCCCTGTTCATTGGCGTGCCATCTGGCAGGTAGCCTAAGCTTAACTTGCTACAAAAACTGCTCACGTGTCAGACTTGAATCTAAAACCACATTTCACTCGTGCACTTCTTCTCAGGCAACAGTCCTCAAGAATACTTCATAAGCAAACGCCTCCATCTCTCAAGGTGGCAAGAGTCCAGCCAGGACACACATGTAGGGAAAATATACGTACCTTTCTTCTGAACCCCCCACAACAAGAAAGAGAACCTGATCGTGTGGCCTGTCTTGAACTTCAATTTCTGTGTACCCTTCCTTTACTATTTGTTCCATGTTTTCAATTCTTTGGTGATTTGTTCTTCTCTTCCGCGGAAAGTTTCCAATCTCAACTGACAACTTGATCTGAACTGCTCGTGACTGTGGTTGACCTAATGCCAAGCAACCCACATCGTTGATGAACTCGTAATCCGCATAGGCATCCTTCTGCATGGAGTAGCTGAACTTGATGCCATGCACAGCCTCTGTGGCTGTGCTTGTGAAGCCGGCTGCCACGGATGTTGGTGCAGAGGGTGGTGGAGTTGGAGGGGCTGCAGGCATAGAGGCAGGGGTGGAGGCCACAGGGGGAGCCTGCACGGAGAGGTTGCCGGCTGTTGCCATGGGAGTACCATCCACCAGGTATCCAACCTCTGCGGCATAGAACGAGGCTGGCAAGGGGGAGCCAGGGTTGTGCATATCAGGCTGCATGGTCTCAGGATGGTTCAAGGCGTTTCCTGCTGCGTTCATCGGTGTGCCATCTGGGAGGTAGCCAATGGAGTTGACGAATTCAGCCCGGGGCAAAGGAGATCCGGGAGTGTGAGGATCTGGTCCAATGGTCTCCGGGTGGTTGATGGCGTTGCCAGCCCTGTTCATTGGTGTGCCATCTGGCAAATAGCCTCAGTGCTTTGGTGCAGTTGTTGCCAAGTTTCATGAGTTCTTAATGTTGGGTGTGGGCTGAATGCATCATGACTCATCATGACCATTTAAATCATTTAAGTTTTACCAAGCAACCCACATCGTTCATGAACTCCAGGTCGGCATAGGCGTCCTTCTGAATGGAGTAGCTGAACTTGATTCCATGAGTAGCCTTCCTTGCCACCTTCATGCGTTGGGCGCCGGCTGCCAAAAGGCCAACAGCTGCTGTAGCCATCAGCGCCATGCCGGCCGTGCCATAAGCTGGGACGCTCGTCTCTGCAGATGGCATTGGAGCAGTCTCGGACTGGGAAAACGTCCTGAACCGTGCGCAGTTGCACTATTTTTGTGAGGGGTCATCAAGAAAAACCCTGGGAAAACGTCCTGAACCGTGCGCAGTTGCACTATTCTTGTGAGGGGTCATCAAGAAAAACCCAAAGGGAAGTTCCAGGATAGCCTGGGTTCCTTGCAATGTACCATGTTTTCAACTATGTAATCCCATGCAATGCATGTTTCCGGTGTCGGTGTACGTCCAGCTTGAAGTATGTGCAAAGTTCCTTGGAATTTTGCCTTTTGACACCCTAGAGGGCTGCAGGTGTTGCAGTGGAAGGCATCGCATGGACCAGGTCAAGGGCCAGGATGCTCATAGAATGCTTAAGATTGACAGCGAACTCAAAATGGAATGACGTAACTTTCCCATCCAAGTAGTGCAATTTACGTGATACCTCTCTCCCTAGATACAACCCTGACGCGCATTCCGGCAAGGTTTACAACGTTTGGAGTCTGAAAACTTTTCTGGGGTGTTGCCACCCTTATTCTTCTTCTCTCGATTTCTCTGAATTGACATTGCAAATTTATCTCTGTTCAAAACTGACAAAGATCTGTGTCCGTAATATCTATATTTTATATGATTTATATGTATCATGTACCACAATAGCACCAGAAGACTGTCTTCAGTTTATTCTCTTCAAATGTCAAATTTCTCCATTTCTCCACATCTCCATAGAAGCAAGGCACTGGGGCATTAGCGACTTCGGCACGTTGGGAGCCACGAAATTGACGCCGTTGAGGAGGACAAGGCCAAAGGCGGCCACGGCCACAGCACACGACATCTTCGACCTGGGCCGCGTGAATTCTAAGATTCTTCTTTTGAATTCAAACAAAGCAGAAGCATTTGAATTAGTTGGCTACAGCAAGTGTGAGAAGTTTCAGCTTCCAGCTATGGTTCGAGAAAAATCACGCATTTCAGGAGGACCCAACTGGCAAGCTGTCGGCAAGCTGTCCAAGCCAACTTACATCCAAGCAGCTGTACCATGTCTTTCGGGGATGGCACGATAAGACTTGAGAAAAATTGAGTCACTCCCTTTGAGCCTCAAAAATTACAGAGAACAAGTCAAAAAGACGCATCTGCCTCGAATGACAGACTGATATGCCCATTTTTGAGCGCAACTTTGATCCATATTCTCATTTGAGCCCATTTCTTGTTTCGTTCCGTGGAAATGCTATCTCATGCTATCTCCACCAATCAAGTATCTCACAGCCGTGCGCAAGCTTCTTCCGCCAAACAGCGCTGATTGGGGATATCTCCAGGGAGAAATGACTCGTGGTGACTCCAACCACCATAATGGATGAAAGTTGACATGCGAATGTCCATGTCTTGCCAGTCTAGCCATGGATGTTGGGATGGAGCCACTGATTGCAGCCAGCATCGGCTTTGCTTTTCAGAACCTAAAATTGGGAGACGCTAGCATTGCTATGCCTCCACTGGGCTGGCCGCCAGTGCAAAAGAGAGGTTGCTTCTTCAACCCTTCCAGTGCCTTCCAGCTGATTCTTAAAATCCAAGTTGTCTAATTTTGCAAGATCTACTTAGAGTCTACTTATCAACTCAGTGCACTGCGTTGTTGCCAGCAGCATCAAGGGGCGTGCCGTCCACCAAGTATCCAATGTCAGCAGCATAGACCGATGGTGGCAATTCAGAGCCAGGAGTATGAGGGTCCGGTCCAATTGTCTCCTGGTTGAAAGCGGCACAAATATCCGGGGATGTTCCTGTGTCCCAACCATCTTGGGAATGATTCTGCACCTACACTGGATGGTTCTTAGATCAAGTCTTACAATCTCTCCAATAGATTGCACTTATCGACCGAAAAAAAATAAAAAGCTGGTGCAGACCAAGAGTCAGGGTGGTTGATGGCATTGCCGGCCCTGTTCATTGGTGTGCCATCCGGCAAGTAGCCGACGTCGTTCACGAAGATGGCACGAGGCAACGGAGAGCCTCAAGCAAAATGCCAATACTGAATCTGATGCCTAGGGACTGGAGATACAAGAGAGGTTGGAGACAGAACTTACCTTCAGTGACCACTAGAACAATTGACACTATGAACAAAGTTTACAGCTTTGAACCAAGGATTCTACTCGTTCTAATTCTAGTAGGTTCTGGTCCTAGTCGAACTGGTGCCACAAACTGCCACACACGCTTGTGCCATTCCTCTGCATTCCGAAGCTACAGTGAGCCTGGAGAATGAGGGTCCGGTCCAATGGTCTCTGGGTGGTTGATGCAGTTGCCAGCGGTGTTCATGGGAGTGCCGTCTGGCAAATATCCCACCTGTCAGCTGTATTGGTGAACCAATCAATATAATAATAGACAACGTTGAATCTCCAACTCAAGTGGCGGCTAGGGAAATATAATCCGCCGACCCCGGCTGCGCAAGGGGGAGCGCGCCAGGGAATAAGAGACAAGAGTTTGCCACTGCCAGCTACTGTTACTACTACTACTGCTACTACTACTACTACTGCTACTACTACTGCTACTACTACTGCTACTACTACTACTACTGCTACTACTGCTACTACTGCTACTACTGCTACTACTGCTACTACTGCTACTACTACGACTACTACGACTACTACGAAGACTACGACTACTACGACTACGACTACTACTACTACTACTACGACGACTACTACGACTACTACGACTACTACTACTACTACTACTGCTACTACTACTACTACTACTACTACTACTACTACTACTACTACTATACTACTACTGCTGCTGCTGCTGCTACTACTACTACTACTACTAGTACTAGGGTTTCAGAAGGGACGTTAGGCAGTTTTTGGGCTCGATTTTGGCGCTGTTCCGTCCTTCAGGGCCACTGTGTTTCCCTGTCCGGCAGGGTGCGTTTTCAGCTTCGGCAGGAAGAGCAGCAGCAGCAACAGGAGCAGCAGGAGGGTTCTATGTCTCACTATGTCTCATTGTACAAACAGCGGTACAAAAAATGGTCGAAAACTATTGTTTTTCTAGGGTTTCAGAAGGGACGTTAGGCAGTTTTTGGGCTCGATTTTGGCGCCATTCCGTCCTTCAGGGCCACTGTGTTTCCCTGTCCGGCAGCGTGCGTTTTCAGCTTCGGGAGGAAGAGCAGCAGCAGCAACAGGAGCAGCAGGAGGGTTCTATGTCTCACTATGTCTCATTGTGCAAACAGCGGTACAAAAAATGGTCGAAAACTATTGTTTTTCTAGGGTCTCAGAAGGGACGTTAGGCAGTTTTTGGGCTCGATTTTGGCGCTGTTCCGTCCTTCAGGGCCACTGTGTTTCCCTGTCCGGCAGCGTCCGTTCTCAGCTTCGGGAGGAAGAGCAGCAGCAGCAACAGGAGCAGCAGGAGGGTTCTATGTCTCACTATGTCTCATTAATATACAAACAGCGGTACAAAAACTGGTCGAAAACTATTGTTTTTCTAGGGTTTCAGAAGGGACGTTAGGCATTTTTTGGGCTCGATTTTGGCGCTGTTCCGTCCTTCAGGGCCACTGTGTTTCCCTGTCCGGCAGCGTGCGTTTTCAGCTTCGGGAGGAAGAGCAGCAGCAGCAACAGGAGCAGCAGGAGGGTTCTATGTCTCACTATGTCTCATTGTACAAACAGCGGTACAAAAAATGGTCGAAAACTATTGTTTTTCTAGGGTTTCAGAAGGGACGTTAGGCAGTTTTTGGGCTCGATTTTGGCGCCATTCCGTCCTTCAGGGCCACTATGTTTCCCTGTCCGGCAGGGTGCGTTTTCAGCTTCGGGAGGAAAAGCAGCAGCAGCAACAGGAGCAGCAGGAGGGTTCTATGTCTCACTATGTCTCATTGTACAAACAGCGGTACAAAAAATGGTCGAAAACTATTGTTTTTCTAGTTTTTGGGCTCGATTTTGGCGCTGTTCCGTCCTTCAGGGCCACTGTGTTTCCCTGTCCGGCAGGGGCGTTTTCAGCTTCGGGAGGAAGAGCAGCAGCAACAGGAGCAGCAGGAGGGTTCTATGTCTAATTGTACAAACAGTGGTACAAAAAGTGGTCGAAAACTATTGTTTTTTAGGGTTTCAGAAGGGACGTTAGGCACTTTTTGGGCTCGATTTTGGCGCTGTTCCGTCCCTGAGGGCCACTGTGTTTCCCTGTCCGGCAGGGCGCGTTTTGAGCCTCGGGAGGAAGAGCAGCAGCAGCAACAGGAGCAACAGGATCAACAGCAGCCGCAGCAGGAGCAGCGCAGCACTTCTTCATCATCAGCAGCAGCAGCAGCTAAAGCCTAACAGCGGCAACAACAAGCAGCAGCTTGCAGCAGCAGCAGCAGCAGCAGCTGCTGCAGCTGCAGCAGAAGCAGCGTAGCAAAAAAAACCATGGGCAAGTCACATCTGCAGCATGTCGTTCTAACAACTCTAAACAAATAACTTTTGCGTGGCGCACAAAAAAAATGATGCACCACACCTTAGGTCTTTGTGATGGTATGTGGTGACCTCTATGCACATCACAGTTCTACACAAAAATCGCCTGGTAAGTCTGAGTGCAGTGTAATTGTCCGTGGTCACCTTTCAACTTCAACAATCAGTGCTGGCGATCTTTCACACTCAGGCCTGGTTTGAGCCGTGCTGTTTTTGATGGGCTGGAAAGATACATAGATCGATTCCCAAATGCGCAACATGATAGAACGCTTCTTCGAAACAAAATGACCAATACCTTACAGATAATATCAGCACCTCAGCACAGCTATATTCTTATATCTTGGGAACCACACTGGATGAACGCGTGCTCAATTGGTGCTTGAAATGAATGAATATCTTACTGGCCGCAAATGCAATGTCTCAATCCTAACGGAAAGGATGACTAGGAGGACAACAAAAGCACAGGTCTAAGAGTCTAGGAGTCTGAAGGTCCCCGTCCAGAATAACCTCATCAGCAAAGCTCCAGAGGATGTCCCCAACACAAACATCCATCCATCTGACCTGCGAAGATTGTGGATTGCACTGCGAACCTCTTTTTTTTTCCGGGGTCGGCGGCAGGGGCGGCAGCCCTTAAATAATAGACAACGTTGAATCTCCAACTCAAGTGGCGGCTAGGGATCTTATAAGCAGATCGTGCTAAGCAAAACCCTGTGCAATGCGAACAAGAATATGACTCTGTTGCAAATGCGATCACATTGACATACAAAATCACAGCCCATCTAGGCAATCTAGGCAAACAAGGTGCATCATTTCCATAGGTCAAGTCAGCATAGGCATCCTGGCAGCATGGACGTGCGGCTGGCCGGAGACAGAACCATTTGTCAGTCTCCAAAGAGGCACAATCCAGCAAGATTTAGCCAAATTGATGTGTTGCCAGAAACAGATTTTCCATATTTCAGTATTTACTTGAGACCCGTTGGAGGGGTTGTCAATGACTTGAAAGTGTTCCGCCCCATTTCACCAAGGTTTTTGTGAGTCACGGCTGGCTCCTTCTGCACGGCATAGGCAAAACCTGCGGGCACTCGCTTGTCTGCTCCGGCACTTCCCATCCCAGCCTCAGTTGGTTGGGACAGCTACACCGCATCCCGCGAATGCAAGCTGCCAGCTACAGCCCGCATCCTACAGATACATCCCACAGCACATTGACCAAGAACAATCCCAACATTCCCTTCTAAACAAGTCAAAACCCAAAAGAATCAAAATGAAGTTCTGTGCATTTCTATGCAAACGAGTTGCAGAGGCTCCCACAAAAGCAGCTGCCACTGGCTGTTGCACTGCCGCCGGTGCAGCGGCAGGTGCAGCGGCTGGGACACCCTGAGAACTATCGTTGCACATGTCAGGTGTGCCTCCGTGAACAGTCAGAATGACTGTATTAGAGAGACTACTTTATGGTTGGGTCCTATATTGGCTTTTCCATGCTTTTCCTACTACTTTGATAAATGTGCAGGATCTTTCAGTCATAGCTAAGACTCCTTAGAACGTAAGAGCTACAGCTGGACACATCACAAACCGAGCCTGAACGGAGAGGTTTCCTGCAGTGACCAAATCGGTGCCATCCACCAGGTAGCCTCGGCAACTGGATGAGTCTGGGGATGTCTCGGCACTCAACTGGTTTAGACAGTTCTGCACTTCCTTCTCAAGTTGTTTGAAGTTTGAAGCCCAAGAAGTTTCATCTTGATTTCATGCTTCCTAATCACAAGCTCTTCCCATGATCATGTGCTCGTGATGTTCATCATCACCATCATCATCATCATCATCATCATCGTGCTCATCGTGCTCATCGTGCTCATCATGCTCATCATGCTAAGCTGTTCCTCTTGCAATCCAGAAGCCCACTTCCGCAGCATAATACGATCTTGGCAAGGGGGAGCCAGGAGCATGTGAGTCAGGCTGCATGGTCTCAGGATGGTTCAAGGCATTTCCTGCTGCGTTCAGTGGAGTGCCATCTGGGAGGTAGCCAACAGAGTTGACGAAGATTGCCCGGGGCAAAGGAGATCCGGGAGTGTGAGGATCTGGTCCAATGGTCTCCGGGTGGTTGATGGCATTGCCAGCCCTGTTCATTGGCGTGCCATCTGGCAGGTAGCCTAAGCTTAACTTGCTACAAAAACTGCTCACGTGTCAGACTTGAATCTAAAACCACATTTCACTCGTGCACTTCTTCTCAGGCAACAGTCCTCAAGAATACTTCATAAGCAAACGCCTCCATCTCTCAAGGTGGCAAGAGTCCAGCCAGGACACACATGTAGGGAAAATATACGTAACTTTCTTCTGAACCCCCCACAACAAGAAAGAGAACCTGATCGTGTGGCCTGTCTTGAACTTCAATTTCTGTGTACCATTCCTTTACTATTTGTTCCATGTTTTCAATTCTTTGGTGATTTGTTCTTCTCTTCCGCGGAAAGTTTCCAATCTCAACTGACAGCTTGATCTGAACTGCTCGTGACTGTGGTTGACCTAATGCCAAGCAACCCACATCGTTGATGAACTCGTAATCCGCATAGGCATCCTTCTGCATGGAGTAGCTGAACTTGATGCCATGCACAGCCTCTGTGGCTGTGCTTGTGAAGCCGGCTGCCACGGATGTTGGTGCAGAGGGTGGTGGAGTTGGAGGGGCTGCAGGCATAGAGGCAGGGGTGGAGGCCACAGGGGGAGCCTGCACGGAGAGGTTGCCGGCTGTTGCCATGGGAGTACCATCCACCAGGTATCCAACCTCTGCGGCATAGAACGAGGCTGGCAAGGGGGAGCCAGGGTTGTGCATATCAGGCTGCATGGTCTCAGGATGGTTCAAGGCGTTTCCTGCTGCGTTCATCGGTGTGCCATCTGGGAGGTAGCCAATGGAGTTGACGAATTCAGCCCGGGGCAAAGGAGATCCGGGAGTGTGAGGATCTGGTCCAATGGTCTCCGGGTGGTTGATGGCGTTGCCAGCCCTGTTCATTGGTGTGCCACCTGGCAAATAGCCTCAGTGCTTTGGTGCAGTTGTTGCCAAGTTTCATGAGTTCTTAATGTTGGGTGTGGGCTGAATGCATCATGACTCATCATGACCATTTAAATCATTTAAGTTTTACCAAGCAACCCACATCGTTCATGAACTCCAGGTCGGCATAGGCGTCCTTCTGAATGGAGTAGCTGAACTTGATTCCATGAGTAGCCTTCCTTGCCACCTTCATGCGTTGGGCGCCGGCTGCCAAAAGGCCAACAGCTGCTGTAGCCATCAGCGCCATGCCGGCCGTGCCATAAGCTGGGACGCTCGTCTCTGCAGATGGCATTGGAGCAGTCTCGGACTGGGAAAACGTCCTGAACCGTGCGCAGTTGCACTATTTTTGTGAGGGGTCATCAAGAAAAACCCAAAGGGAAGTTCCAGGATAGCCTGGGTTCCTTGCAATGTACCATGTTTTCAACTATGTAATCCCATGCAATGCATGTTTCCGGTGTCGGTGTACGTCCAGCTTGAAGTATGTGCAAAGTTCCTTGGAATTTTGCCTTTTGACACCCCAGAGGGCTGCAGGTGTTGCAGTGGAAGGCATCGCATGGACCAGGTCAAGGGCCAGGATGCTCATAGAATGCTGAAGATTGACAGCGAACTCAAAATGGAATGACGTAACTTTCCCATCCAAGTAGTGCAATTTACGTGATACCTCTCTCTCTAGATACAACCCTGACGCGCATTCCGGCAAGGTTTACAACGTTTGGAGTCTGAAAACTTTTCTGGGGTGTTGCCACCCTTATTCTTCTTTCTTAGATTTCTCTGAATTGACATTGCAAATTTATCTCTGTTCAAAACTGACAAAGATCTGTGTCCGCAATATCTATATTTTATATGATTTATATGTATCATGTACCACAATAGCACCAGAAGACTGTCTTCAGTTTATTCTCTTCAAATGTCAAATTTCTCCATTTCTCCACATCTCCATAGAAGCAAGGCACTGGGGCATTAGCGACTTCGGCACGTTGGGAGCCACGAAATTGACGCCGTTGAGGAGGACAAGGCCAAAGGCGGCCACGGCCACAGCACACGACATCTTCGACCTGGGCCGCGTGAATTCTAAGATTTTTCCTTTTGAATTTCAAGTGGTTTGTTTTTTTGGTTCAAGGAACGATTTTTTGTCCTGAATAATTTTTTGATTTTGATCAATTTGAACCTGATGTTGGCTGTTGTTTATTAATCCTAATCATATTCAAACTCGTCAAAACGACAGTTGTTCAGAGTCACCTTAGGTCACCGTCCATTAAGTTCTCGCATCAGTGTAATTTGTTTCAACCGAACGTCGATACATATTAGCCAGTTGGCTTCACATTTGGACATTTCACATTTTTGGTTGGTTGCTGCGATTGTTCACACGGATTGCAAAAATCGGACAATGCAGCACGTTGTTTTTGATCCCAAAATAGATTCGTTGTAAGCAATTCCGTTTTCAAAAAACATTTTGTGTGAATTGCATGTGTGAAATTTTGCTGGCCAAGCTACATCTGCGACATCTGCCCCAAGTGTGGAAGGACGGAAAAATCGGAAAGACCGCTCGATCAATCCCTCCGATCATTTTGAACCACAAACATCGGTTCAACTACTCCGTGAAAACTTGAATCCCACACAGTCCAAATTAGCGTTGCACAGCTATAGGAATTGCGCAAATTTGGTTGCAATGGTAGCATCATTGTTTTGCTCAACAAGGCCGCACTGCAACATACACGGGAACGGATGCTGAATTTTGTTTGGTTCGATACCACATTCGACGCTGTACCCCGAACACTGAGTTGTGGCCCAATACAAGTTTCACGCAGCATTGTGACATGTTTGTGACATTTCCCTTCACATTTGGAATTTGAAACCTGCAGTATCATCGCTTCACTGAATTACTGTCAAGGTTTGAATGGTTTTGTTTTTTTTAACTATTGATCAGCCGCGGTGCCAAAAAACAGAACAAATGCAAACGCTCGCTGACTCACCAAGTTTAATTCAATTGTTGGGTTCATGTTTTTGTTTCAATGTATCAGAAACCAACATCACTGTATGCGCACATTCAAGCAACAGAACAAACCAGTCTCCAAAAAAAATGTGGTATCAGACAGACACGTATTGAGAAAAAAATGCCCAGAACGGAGGCGTTTGCAAACGCATTCGTTTTCCAATTTACAACTGCAAAATTCGACAGTTGACTGCTATTCACGGCACTCATCTCAAAACGACATTTGTGAGGCAACCAAAAGCACGCGTGCAGGTTTGCTTTCATCTTGAACTGAGCCACTGCAATTGGATATGCCACCTGTTCATGACATACTGCACGTGCAACAAAGCATTTGAAATTGGTGAAATGCCAAATGAATCCAACGCCCAACACCAAAGGAAGGTTTTACAAAATTTAAAAAAAACAATTCACGACAAACATTCCAAGACAATTGTCATATCCTTCAAATATGCCCGCGCCAAAGGTGCCAAAACATGGCAATTTACAGTTTCGACTGGCAAGGGGAGGCCATTTTCAGCCTACTGTGCTCGTCAAAAAATTGCCAAACCAAATTCACCGTTTCGATCCAACGTTTGCACAACATGGTCTCAACCTGGGGTCAACGTTGGCCAACTTGCTGCCAATTTGGGCCCAGCCTGGCTTGAATTTGGGTCTAACTTTGCACAGGTTGGACCCAAGTTGTTGGGAGGATCTTTGGCCCAAGTTGTGCTCAACCCGCGCCCAAAATGAGGAACACGGCATACCGAACACGAAACGCTGACAACACGCATTTTCATTGGTATGTTCAATGTTTTTTGCCCGCAATGGAAATTCGCACGGCGTCACGTTCCCCGTGTTGGGCCTGTGCTGGTGTCAACCTGAGGTGAAAGTACCACCATACAAAGCCCCAAGTTGAACCAAGTTGAACCGTGCTGAACCTAAGTGCGCAACATGGGTCACTTGGGGACCACCCCAATGGATTTGGCCATACCTTCAACCCAACGTGACCACTTGGTTCCAATTTAGGCCAAATCGGGTTCCACCATGCAATTTGGGCCCAAACCCCGCCCGTTCTAGTTGGGTCGAACATTGGCCAACATGGCCGACCCAATGAAACATGTTGAAAGCGAAGTTTGGCCCAAGTAGGCTCCCAAGTAGGTCCGTGTTCAGCCCGCATCCCCAACTACCGAATTCCTCAACTTCGAACAGCCGTGCCCTGTACCGTGCAGGTCACGACCCGTGTGTCAAAATGAATTCCCTTTACTTCTGGGAAGAAGCTGCGCATCAATACCCCAAGCCCTTATTTTTCCCTCTCCTATTTGTTCATCACCTTGCAATACAGTGCCAAACATGTTTTGAAGATCTTCCTCCCGGCATCCGCACTTCCTTCGAGTTGCGGCGGCAAAGTCGCTGGTACTTTAAGTTCGGACCCATGGGTTCACATGTCTGCTCTTGCTTCTGGCATTCAGCCCCGACATCAAAAATGTTCCCAAAGAATTAAATAATGTTTGCCATCACAACATTGACGCATGGCGCATACAGGTGTCAACTTAGTGGAAGAAACAACCACAAGAATCGAACCATTTTTTTACCAAATCATTGCACGACAATTGATGAAATTACACCCTGAGCAACATTGCAACATTGATGGTTTTAGCATCAACTGCCACTATTTATCACATGATATGATTCCCGATACATACCAAAACTGATGACGCAATTTAAAAAAAAACAGATGCAGCCAACGAACCTGAATGCAGCCACGTAAAAAACACTTTTGTGAAACAAGTTGTTGTACCAGTGTAGACTGTGGGGTGTGGAACGGGGTTGGGTGCAGAGTGTGGGGTGTAAAGACGGTGGAGTGTTGCGTGGGGAAGGGTGTGTAGGGTATGAAGTGAGGATTGTGGAGTGCGAAGTGTCGAGTGTAAAGTGTAAAGTCTGGAGTGTGAAGTGTAAAGGTAAGTGTAAAGTGTAAGTGTGGAGTGGGAAGTGGAAAGTGCAGGGTGTGGAGTGTGGAGCCTAAAGTGTAATTAAGGTGCAGAATGCGGAGTGTAAAGTGTAGAGTGTGGAGTGCCAAGTGTAAAGTGCCAAGTGTAAAGTGCAAAGCGTAGAGTCTAGAATGTGGAGTGTAAAGTGGTAGAGTGCAGAGTGCGGAGTGTAAAGTGTAAACTGTAGAGTGTGTAGTGTCAAGTGTAAAGTGTGAAGTGTAAAGCTTAGAGCGCAAGGTGTAAACTGTAAAATGTAGAGTGCGGAGTGCAAAGTGTAAAGTATAGAGTGTGGCGTGTAAAGTGTAGAGTGGAGTGGGGACTTTGGGGCTTGGGGTGCCAAGAGTGTAATGTAGAGTGCGGAGCGTAAAGTGTAGTGTGTGGAGTGTAAAGTGTAGTGTGTAGAGTGCAAAGCGTAAAGTATAGAATGTGGGGTGTCAAGTGCAAAGTGTCAAGTGCGGAGCGCAAAGCGTAAGGTGTAAAGTTTATTTCCAACTCCACAACACTAACACGCACTGGACTGGTTTTAAGAATTGGAGCTGCTTCCAAATTAGCCGCGTCGAATCGTGCGTAGCTCGTTCTGCAGGGTTTAACTGTATCGAATCATGCGGAAGAACAGCTGGCAATCACTCCTTTTTGCTTGGACCTCAGGGCCTCAATGCATTCACATGTGATTTCACATGTCGTGACGTGAGAATGAAACTGTCTCGATTGAAGTGCGTGTCATCCTTGTGCAGTGGCCATGCAACTGTGTTCCAACGGTGGAGTGCTAACTAACAGAAAACTTTCACACTCCTCCTCAACTTGGAGAGTTTCAAATCTCCCAAGTTGCTCACAGTTTTCTCTCACCGCCATTGCGCTCTGACACGCTGCCAAAAGTAGTCTCATCCGAAATCAAAAGACCTGCCAAAAGAGTAGGCCTCACAGTTTTGCATAAGCCCTGAATTGAACTCTGCTGTAGCTCTCATTGGAATTGTTGCAGCGTATTGGGCTTCCAAGTGAGCATTATGGTAACCGGGAGTGGCTCACATTCCCGGGCATCCAAAAGCAAAGTAGTTTTGCCCAAAATGGGCTGTCATGTCCTGGAACGGTACACATCTTCGAAATTTCTGTACCTGGCTATGGTCACATTGCTCATGCCACGTCGTTCTCCTCGATTTGCCATCATTCTGAAAGAATCTGCGATACTTTGGAAAACTCTGATCCTTGTTTCTGGATTTCTCATGCCTTGATTGTTGGTGTTGTCCAGCAACATCAAGATTGTTCTCTGGAGCTCATCTGCGTCACTCCAAAGTTCTTCTGCAAGCGCCGCATTGAGTTGAAGTCTCAAATCGTCTATGGAGGTTTCAAGTTCACCTTGTCTTGTTGACATGTCTCTTTCTGGATTCAGAAGGTGATCCTCCGTCCTCTCAGATTCTGATTCACCTCCCTCTGCATAGACGACTCCACTCCAAACTCCAGGGTCGTTGCTCGAAGAAGCTCCTGTAGTTGTTGCTGCTGTTGCTGGTGCCACTGGTAGTGGTGATGATGGGTCAGTGCCATCACCTGCCCATGCAAATACTCGGCTTTGGTGCCTAATTGCACTCATATACTGAGCATGTCCCATGGCATTCATGGCTACTCTATTGCCTTGCTCAACTGTAAACGTGTGACCTCGTTGAACAGGAGTAAGCTCTCGATGCTGGGCAAATCCTCCAATCTCAACCAAACCGTAGTGGATTCCGTCGACTGAGTCTGCCAGCATGTCCATGTGACTTGAGGTCTCAGTCACCTGGTTGCTAACCTGTCCAACTGACCTTTGGACTTCTGGGAGTAAAGCCATGTGCTCACCAAGAGTTGTGTCAGCTTGTGCAACTTGTAGTGCAAGATGGCCTGCATCAGCTTCAATTGCGCGAATCCGCTTGATGCCAATCCAAACTGCTGCTGCGACCAAGAAAGTCATGGCTGTGCACCACACAAACAAAATCACGTAGACCAACTTTGAGTGATCATCATCATGATTTTCTGGTGCACAAGTGCCAGTTGAAACACCAATTGAACATTCATCAACTGGAAAACCCAGAGCGCCAGTGGTAGGCTCAAGGCCCATGAGAAGTGCAAGACGTGCAATTGTCCTGGCTGCTTGTACCATTTGTTGATTCAAGTTTCGACCATCTCCACCTCGACGTTCCTCTGCCTGGATTGGGTTGGCACCACCATCGTCAAAGATGCCACTGTCACTGAGAAGAGTCTTCAGGCGTTTTGCTGACAACACCTTGGTACCAATGTCAGCAACATTGAAAGCTGTGCTTGTGCTGATTTGACTCAAAGCAATCTCTCCATTTCGAACTTTGTCTTGTATCTAAAGTATTTTGGCACTCAAGTGCTTCACCTTCCCTGTGCCTTGGCGTGAGCACAGTTGACGTGCACTTGAAGAGTCAGTCAGCAAAATGTGCTCGACATTGCCCTTGATCACAAATTCAGCACAACGTTTGATGAAGATGCCGTCACAAAGAGTTGAAACCATTCCATGTAGTTCAGCTCCACAGCTTGAAAGAGAGATCGCCCTTTGGGTACGTGAGCTTGAGTAAACGCAATTGCCACATAGCATATGGAGACCTGACCACGTAGAGCGTCGATGTCGTTTGTCACTGCTCCAGTCACTGTCTGAAAAGGACTCCAAAAGCCAGTATTTGTCATTGGTCTGTTTGTGCAAGCCTTGTCCTCCATGAGGTTGTTGAAGCACAACTGCATAGTTGGTGGTTCCCTTCAAGTAAGCCACAAGCTTCTTGAGGTGTCTCATTGCTGAAACTGTGGGGCTGCTCATGTAGCTTGAAAGTTCCTTCACCGTGAAAGCAACATCTGGTCGATCACGTGTGATGTACAAACATGTGCCCACAGCCATTCTGAAAAAGGTAACATCGCTTCCAACCAAGCATGGAGAGTTGTCTTCCATTTGAATTGAAGAGTCAGCTGGAGTTGTGGAAGATCTCAGCTTTCCAAACCTTTCTTCCCAAACCTTGATCAACTTCCCAATGCTGCTGCCTGGGAGTAACGCTAAACCATCTTCCACACGCAAGAGCCTTCTCTTCAGGAATGAAATCTCTGATCCAACTCCTTCCAAAACAGAGCAACTGATTGAAAAACGCTGTTGAAGTTTCTCCTTGAACTCATTCCAAAACTTGAGGCTGCCAACGTACATGATGTCTTCCACATGGATGAGAATGGCACATTCTGGAGTACGTGCCAAGCAAGGTTGAACACTGCAAAATTCAAACTTCATGGTCTCATCCAAAAACGCACGTAGATACCAGTACCAAGCACGTGCCCCAAGTCGTTGGCCAGGAAGGTTCTTGAGCACAACCCATGTTTGACCTGCAAGCTTGATGCTGAGAGGAGTATGTTGTGGCCCTTCTAAGAAAGCATCTTTGATGTCCAAAGCTGCCATCACCTGATCACTGCATGAAACTCCTCCTGCAACATCATTCAAATCACCACATCGTTGAAGCCAAAGTAAAGGAAGCAGGTTCAAAACATGAGTGCTTGAAGCTGGTGAGTAAGTAGACACGTTGCCGTCTCTCCAAGAATGCATATTCTCGTGCTACCAGCCTGCTGCGTCGAAGCCATTTGAGTGTTGGCTCCCCGTCAGCTGCATCACCAAAGTGTTTGAGGCGCCAATCTCTGACAAACTTTGTGCTCAGTTGATGGCTCTTCTCTGCAACGCCATCATAGTCAGCTTCACGCTGGATAACACCCATGCTGGTGAGTCGAGAGAGTTCTGTTTCGTCGGCCAAATCGTCTAGCCACTGTGGAGGTTCCTCAGGCTTCACACTGATATCAGCATCTGACCACAACTGCAGAGGAACACCTGAAAAGACTGATGGATCATCTTGCCAGTGATCTTCATCTTCCTCATGATCTGTCATCTTGAGGTCCTGGCTGTAGTCGTCCATGGTATGAAATTCTGATCCATCATCAAACTGCACTGAACGGATCATTGCTGAATGTTGCTCACTCAATTGCATGAGCCTGGGTTTCTTTGTGTCCTCCACTTTGGCCCTTTTGTGAATCTGTTCATCAGCCGTCTCCTCCTCACCATGAACTCTGGTTGTTGGATGTGTCCTTGGACTCACCGGCACATCAGTTGATCCTGCTGCTGCTGAGCTTGAGGGTGCTATCACAGGAGGAGTCATTGGCACTTCGAAGAAAGAAGGAGGTGTAGAAGGACCCGGAAGTCCTAACGCTGGGTTTGCCATCTCTTGAGATTGATCATCTCCTCCTTCCACTGGATCATCGAAAATGCCAATGGGATTGGGATGTTGTATCACACTTGCATCTTCCAGTCAAACCTGAGGCTGTTGATCCATCTCCTGCATAGGGTTCTGTTTGTCGTGGATGGCCATGTTGGTGTTGGCTGTTTCATAGTCTTCACGTTGCTCTTCAAGAGCTTTCTGCCTGACTGCCTCAGCGTCCTCATCAAAGACTTGGAGGGTTCCACATCTCCAACTGGATGGTTGAAGCCAGGAGCAATGGGTGCACGACTGCTCTTTGTCGGCACCACTCTTCCACCAAAGCTGCTCCTGTACTCGTATGAGGCACAGTTGAAGCTGAGGTAAAACGCCAAATGACCTTTCCAGCAAGTGTTGATCCTTCTGACAGACCTTGCCAAAATCAAATGGGTTCCATTGTAGAGCAAGTATGAATCCTGCTGTCACACTGAATCTGTTGATGACCCATGCCGCATGCCTCATGGCCCATGTCCAGATAGGACTTGAAGTTGAAATTTCGATTCCAAGCTTTTCACCAAGAGCATGCATGAAGGATCCAGCAAGTGGTCTCACCCTGCCTATGGCATTTTCCACAAGACTGTTGCCATGTGAATACGCTGGTGGAGTTGTTGAACGTGTGGGCAATCCCATCGCCAGTCGTGTGTTCACTGCCATGCGCATCAACTGTCGCATAGTAGGCTCATTGTCAACCATGAAAGTGAGGTCAGTGTGCCCAAGGAGCTGGCTGAAGGTGATCAGCTCTCTCACCATCAAGTCAAACTGGTTCTTGTGCTTGATTGGAGTACTGAGTACAGTGGATGTACCCCGTTTGGGAACACACCATGACCAAACACACCAAAGATTTCACATCTTGAGGCTGGTTGCCCTCGGGAACGCTCTTTGTATAGCAGAAATCAAAGGAAATTGTGGGAGCAGCACTTGCATGTGTGCTGTCATCTCTCATATGTCGATCTGCTCGAGCCCTGAAAGCAACGCAAGAAGAGCACCAAGGTTCATAGGGAACATGTGTGAGGCAATGCTTGTCTTGATATTTCTGAGAAGGAAGCTCAGCTAGTGGTGGTGCTTGGGCATCACGTTGCATCATACCCTCTGCACGCCTGGCTGCAGAGTGCACTGCTTCCAGTTCCATCTTCTTTTGGTGATTGATCAACTTGTTGAAGCATTTGACCTTCCCACCTGAAGTTGAAAGCCCATAGAACGTCAGTGCCTGTCGAAGCGACGCCAAAGTGCTCAGAGCTGTCAGCTCCGCACCATTCACCGTGATTTTGTCCTCTGGGGCAGGCCCAACCACGATTTTCTCTTGTATGTCAACACCTTGAGGACCAACTCCAGCATTGCCTTGGTCAATGTCTTGACCTTCAATCTCAACATCATCCTCTGGTGCTAGGATTTCAACATCGATCTGTTCTCCATTAGCTTCAGCTTGGCCTTGAAGTTCATTCTCATCTCCTTCCAAAGCAAAACCCATGACACGTGGGTCCTTTTCAGCATCGGTCAGGATGGTGATCACATCTCGACTGCCTTCCAGTTCATAGAAGGATGCCCTGGGTCAACAATGGATTCCAGAGGTTCACATAGTTCCAACACAAACCAAGCATCACCGTTCTTGACCAAAGTGGTCCTGTTGCGCTGTCCAGAAATGTCAGGAGGCACCAGTGTTGGGTCCATTATCTGGTCACTGTAGTGGGGTCCACCGCCTGTGCCATCATCGTTCAAAGACCATCCAATTGCACCTCTGTCCATGCCGCCAAAAACATCAGATCGAACAGCATTGATGAAGTTGGAAATGGGTTGATCTTCATCTGAAGATCCAATTGTTCTGATCCAGCCTTGAACCACCATGGATTGGTTCTGAAGCTACATGGGAATGCGTGTGTCAGTTGGCGCATGGTATAGTGATTGCTCAACACCACAAACACCCCAACCTGATTGCAGAAGCTTCCCAAAACGGATGATGGGTTGATGAACTTGTGCTGAAATGGCTCCATGTTCACGTATGGTCACCCCACGGCCATGCTGATCCAACAACGAAATCTCGACATCCCTCATAGCCACAACAGGGATTTCTCTACCCTGTGCATCATGCAGCTGCAGCTTAGCTGCTGTAGAAGATGTTCCCGCCTGAGCATACCGCAGTGGCAAAACTGTTGCATCAGCGCCACTGTCGAGCAGTATTGATTGCATGTCATCACTGCCATCAGGAATTGCTTCTACAACTGCATGAACTTTTTTTTTTCCTCGCGTTTGGCCGATGTCGCTCAGAGGCTCGGTCCTTACATGAGAATAAGCTGTCAGAAAGACATTTGTACAAGGACACAGTTGGTCCATAAAAGCATGCAAATCAAAATCAACCAAAAGACAACACAGGGCCAACAACCACGACGACCCGCAAATCCCCCAGCCAGATTTGCGTTTCGTCATAAGAAAACAGCAAACCAGACAAAAACGGGGCAAGGCCCAAACAACAACCACAAAAAGGATTTGCCAAAGGACACAGCGGATTTACCACTGTGCCACTCCACAAAAGCTTGCAAAATGAATTATCCACCGCGACATTCCGTGAAACGTGAAGATCGAAGCAAAAATGAGTGGCTTCGATATCAAGAATGGAAAACAGTGCGTTGAGCTTACTTAGATTGCCTCTCTCAGCGTCCGCTCAGATGTGCTCGTCCAGAAGGTCATAGTTCGCAAAGGACAGTGAGGTATCCAGCCTCTGTTGATAGTAATGTCGCGGTGGTTTGATGTACCAAAGACCCCCCCAATAAGGGGGGGCAAACGGTAGTGGCGTTGAGGAAGATCTGCAGACCAGGTGTAGAAAATCCTTACAGCCATTGCAACCAGGTGCACAGTGTCCCAAGTGTCATAGGGGTAGATGTGCACGCACTCAATCGCAGCCCGGGCACTGCTATCCGAGAGCCGCCGCCGCGGGCATAAACTCAAATGTCAGTTGATTCTCTAAAGAATTCGACAGGCATGCAGAGTGTAATGAGCCAACGGGCAAGGTGACTCTACACTTAGACAGTAGACTCATAAGGCAAGCATAATGACTTCGTGCCAGCTAGCAAGTCGCACCGTCTTCATTGTCGTCAAAAAAAACTCTGGTTATGCAAGGGTTCGTCGCCTAACACAAAAGGATCAGCAGCAGAACTGTTCAGTACATTCCAGGGCGTCATCGTCCCTGAAAAACCCGCAGTGCAGTGCTGTGGGCGAAGCAGAAGTCAGCAGTGACCTCCAATCCAGTTTCCACTCACCCATAGAGTGGGCATGTGATAGAGTCACCGATTCGCAGCCGCCAACGAACGAACCATGTAGGCAGACTTTGCTGCTCGCGGGCGCCCCAGGCTGCCCTACAGGGAGCACCACTGGATTGCTCCAATGAGACTCACTGCAGCGCAGCCTGGTCCATGGCTCCGGCCGGCTGCCCTACTGCCCCTCTCGGAACAACAGCAGAAACGACCAGACAGGGCCACGGATAAGCCACCCAACCTAAGCAAGAAACCCCCGAAGCAAAACAAACAACAAATTAAGGTCATGACACCCACCACCAGCCAGGGAAAAGGAGGTACCAGGAGAGGGTACAAGAAACTTTAGGGGCACCGACTCTTCCGGCCTGAGTAACCCTAGTCAGTGTTTCAACCTCAGCCGCCGCCTTAGACACACCATACAACACAAACGAAAAAAAACTGGGCTCCAGACTGTTCTCGCCTAAGTGAAGGAGGAAGAAATTGCACTGGGGGCAGGACAACACAAGAACACGCAAACACAACCCAAGAAGAAACAGAAGAAAAGGGCGCCGGGAAGGCAGATGAGGACAAGAGCAGAGAACGTCACACACTCTACATGGCGGGTGTGTAACTTAGCGGTGTTCGAGGGGGTTCCTGGATCATCATGAAGATGAATACCTCAGTGAGGGAGCGCAGAGCCCCACAACAACATATGCCCCATGGTGTAGAGGGTTGATCAATCACCCCACACAGGGCCAAAGGCCTTTGCTGCCGTGAGACAAAATGTAGCGAGGAAGCAATGCACCACAACACCCCAAGCAATAGGCAAGGCAACCAGGCCGTCGCAAGAAGCAACCAGATACCCAGAGGGAGGGACCAGTAAAACTAAAAATTTACTGGGCCAGGGCGCCACACCGAAGCAACCGAGGGGGGAGGGAGGGAAGCAACCACAAAACCACAAACAGACAACGAAGAGCCCAAGTGCAAAGGGGGAGGCAAACAGAAAACACAGAGACGAGACAAGCAGGAGCAGAGGCACACAAGCAAGCACGGAAAGACAGACAGCAAAGACACACAAAAACGGACCCAAGCAAAGGGCCGAACAAGGAACAACCCAGAGGCGAGGAAAGCACAGCCATCAAGGGGTGTTAGACAGGGGGTGGATCAGAAAAGATGCATGCAATACGCTCCCACAAAACCACAAGGCCGGTGAGGGCAGAAAATCAACCGGTATTCAGGGAAAACAAGCCCGGGGTACAAAACCAAACTAAAGTGAAACGTGAGCAGGCAGAAGCAAGGAGGGAGAAAGAAGCAGAAGGGCGGTAATCGCACGTCATTCTTCGTGTGGTATATTCGAGATAATGTTGTTTATCAGATCGAAGCGTCTCATTCCACCTATTGCCGATTGCGAAGGAAACAGGATGCAGCGCTTCCTGCTCTTCGGCACGAAGCCGCAGATCGTTGCACTTGTCCCAAAAGGCTACTTGATCATCATCTGGCGTTCTCTTTCGTAGTCTCCGACTTGGAAATTCTCGTGCTTGCACATGTTGCATAAGTGTGGCCTCCGGAGCATAATGAGCTGGTCGCTGAAAGAGTACCCTACTTGCAAACCTGATGCGATTGATTTCCCAGTGGGAGAACATATGCCGATGCTGCATCTGTTGTTTGAGTTGCGCAGCATACTGGTGGAAACTCTTGGTCGTGTGCCAAAGCCTGAGCAGGCTATAATTTGACGGCCAATCTAAGGGGCACAAAGTTGCAGTCTGTTTCCACTTCGCTGGGGTTAATCCTGTTGGCGACGGTATGATGACTTCCAATGTTACCCTCGTGGCTCCAGTAGGCTGGAGCCCCAGCATGGTGTAAGGCTCAACCACGTGTGACCACGAATGAGTTCTGTGAAGCAGTTTTTTTTTTTCCTCGAGTGTGGCCGATGTCGCACTATGGCTCGGTCCTTACATGAGCATAAGCAGTAAAATGCTATTTGTACAAGGACCAAAAAACGTCCAGAAATGAGGGCAAATCACACCACACCAAACAACCCACAAACCAGCCAGACGACCCGCAAATCCCCCAGCCAGACTTGCGTTTCGTCAAGAGAAACAACAAACCAGACACACAAAAGGGGCCGGAGCCCAAACAAAAACACCCACAAAAAAGATTTGCCAAAGGACACAGTGGTTTGACCACTGCATCACTCTCAAAAACATGCGAAAATGAATTAAGAACCACGACATTCAAGCAGACATGAAGGCCTAAACAGTTTGCCTGTCTACTCTGGCATAGATGTCCCGAAGCTGTACATGAACACGGGGCTACAACCTATGCCTCTCTCAGCGTCCTCTCAGATCAGCTTGTCCAGAAGGCCTCCATGGACAGAGTCGTTACCATATATTGCCCTGTGAGCAAGAATGTCGTGGTGGTCACTGTGCCAGGTACCCCCCCGGTCGGGGGGGGCGGACGGTGGTGGCGCACAGAAAGCTTCGCAAGCCAGTGAAAAACTTCCATACTGCCATCGCAAATGTAGTGCAGGGACCCTAGTTTCATAGGGGAGAAATGTAAACCTGCAAATTGATTGAGCTCCGCCAGTAATACTCCTCAGCAGTAGGCAACGCTCGCAAAGATGAAAAGCATGCAATAATATCTTCAGTCGTGCAGATAGCATGAAGCCAAACAAGGCGATGAATCCACACTCGGACAGCAAAAGAGAGCCGAAAATTGACCTGACTGTAACCACAGTTTCGCCATACCAGCTTTACCTTCGGCAACGTTGCTCTCGTTGTTGCAGGTTCGCTAAACGTGCCAACCACAGAACTGTTCAAGACATTTCAGGATGTCATCGTCCCTGAAAGACCTGCAGTGCATTGCAGTATGCAAAGTAGACGAATGTAGTGCATCCAAATCCGTAACGCTACTCACCCACAGAGTAGGCAGGCTGCAGAATCACCAAATCCCGTCCACCAACTGACGAACCATGTAGGCAGACTTATGCTGCTCGCGGCCAGGCTGTCCTACAGGGAGCACCACTGGATTGCTCCAGTGAGACTCTCTGCAGCGCAGCCTGGTCCATGGCTTCGGCCGGCTACCTACCGCCTCTCTCGGATAGGCACACCCAACCACGCAGAGCCGGACAAAGGACACCCAGTAAAGACTCAGAAGAGACAAACGAATTCAAGTTCAATGACACAGAATAAAACCCCCGGAGGAGGGCAAAGCAAAGGAAGAGGGGCAAAAACACGGGCCCTAGGCGGCGCCAAAAGAGTCCCGTCCTTAGTCACCTTAGAGAAACAAAAATGAGTTCTGTGAAGCAGTTGGATGCTTGA